TTTAGAGGATTTATGCCATTTCACTTTAAGCTACTACCAACTTATGACTTCTTCTTTTTTAGAAGAAGCTATATACCAATCTATGAGAAAGGTGAATATATAGAAGGTATGGGCGTTGAACATCATGCTACTATTAAGAGAGATTCCTTGCTCCTGTCCATAGGTAACAAGCGTCTTTATCACCCAACATAATCTCTTAATGCAAGCATTGTGGAGCCAACCCTCTAGATATCATCAATAAATTATTTGAGGATTTTTAAAGAATATTCTTTTTTATCACTTTTTATGTGCCACTATGAGGATTCGAACTCGGGACCTCCTAAGTATCACCTAAGTACCTTATCATCCATCCACTTAAACAAGCCTCAAGTCATCACTTGATGTGAAAAGCTTCAATTCTTCTCCCAATAAGCTTGTTGCTTGACATCATCTCTTTTTTTAAATCTCTATTTCTCACAAATACTAACTTATTTTTCTATAAAAATTTATATATCTATTTGTAGACCTTCGAAGAACATAAAAACCATCAAAGAAACTTATAAATGTAACAAAAAGAGTTAAAGCTTTTCATTGACAACATCTATCAAAACTAAGATAAAAAATAATAAATATTTGCTATAAAAGAAAGAAGATCCAAAAAAGAGAATACTCTATCTTCTATCTTTTTTTGGAGCTTTTGTATATTTGTGATGCTAAGAAATAGAGATCCAACAATCAGCAGATTTAACTCAAGAACTTTTACTTACTAACTTATTAGACAAGACATTGTAATTGTTACAACCTTCAAGATGACATAATGAAGATGAAGATCCTCAAGAATAACATATCTTTTCTTGAATAAATGGTGAAATATAACATGTTTGGTATCACGACCTTGGAAGAGACTCATGATATTTGGTGATTTTATTAGACATAGGAACAACTCCCAATGATGTTTCAAATATTTTATTTGAAAGAAGTCACGAAGGCGTCAATAATGATCAAATAATAGGATGGTCTTCTTACCCTGGTGTATGATACTATCGATGGTTGAGAGGACGTATCAACCATCTTTGAAAAGAACAAAGATCAAAGTATGTGGCAAATATAATTTTTTGCATCTTAGATTTCATCAACACATGATGATCAATCCTCTTGGAACTTGTCCTTAGAATGGAGGATAATATCATGGATATATATATATATATATATATATATATATATATGCATATTTTAGTAAATACTTATATGATTAGATAGAACTAGATAAAAATAGATTAATTTTATAATACCTTCTAGAAAAGCTTTCTAAAAGCTTCATAGATATTGTATCACAAACATATTCATTTATTCCAATAGTTACTTATATGATTAGGTAGAAATATGTAAATATAGATTAATTTTATAAAATCTTCTAAAGAAGCTTCTTAGAAGTTTCATAGATGCTATTGTATTATAACACAACTATATGATAGAAGATGATAATATAGATCTTATTATAGAAGAACCAAGTTAAAAGATAAAGTAAAAAAATATGGATAAAAGATAGGAAGGTAGTAAAACTTTTAGTAGTAATGCTGCCTTTTTAGAAAAGTGACTTCTACTTACTTTGTAGGACCATAAAGAAGGCAAAACAAAATAGATTGAAAAAATAAATGACATAGGCATCTTAAGGAAGAAGTTAAGAATAAATTCTAGCAAAAATATCTTAGAAAAACTAGATATTAATATCCAAAGAAGGCCAGTTATGAACTAGGGTTGAAATCAGACCCCGAGGCACTAAACCAAGCCTCAATAAGGATTTTGGGATTTTTTTATAGATTGGAGAATGGGATTTAATAGCAGATTAGATAAGATTTTTATGAGCATTATTTTTTTGTGATTTGGATTTGTAATGACTTTGTAAAAGCTTTACAAAGACAAGTTTGTTTTTGGATGACTTGGATTTTGTGAAATATAATAGAGTTGACGTTTTGGGCAATTTCAAGAGTTTTTTAATAGATTTATAAGTGAAATTTTGTGAGTTAATGGTTATAGTTGTGCTTAATGTATTTTGTGAATTTTAGCTTGATCCAATGGTTGAATTGAGGATTATTGAGGTTTAAGTGGGTCAAGGTCTTAAAAAATAGAATTTTAGGTCTAGTGAAGATTTTTAAGATTTCTTGTAATCTACTAGTTGGATTGGAGTAAAATTTATAGGTAAAGATAGTAGACTTATTTTTCTATATGTATAAGAATTTTGAGATCAATTGAATAGTAAAAAAGAGAGATATTGGCTCTAGGAGATTGATATCAAGGTCAAAGAAGGAGGTCGACCAATATCCAAGCATGTTTTTGAGGTTATTGTCTATTTGATAATTCCGATCCTTTTCAAATTTCTTGTGATTATTTTCAACTTAACTATTAAGAAGTATTTAAATTTTGAATTAAGATCAATGGTTCATTCATTAGTTATTGAGGTTTAAATTTATTATAGAAATTATTAAGATTTAGTTTAGGGTTTAGGATTTGGTTAGGATTTGATTTAGGATTAGGATTTGATTAGGATTTAATTTAGGGTTAGGATTTGATTTGGGTTTGATTTAAATTTTAGAATTTGATTAGGATTTGATTTAGGATTTAGGGTTTGGTTAAGGTTTATTTTACGATTAAGATTTAGTTAGGATTTGATTTAAGATTTAGGATTTGGTTGGAATTTGATTTAAGATTAGGATTTGATTAAGAATTGATTTAGAATTTAGAATTTGGTTAGGATTTGATTTAGGATTTAGGATTTAATTTGGATTTATTTAGAGTTTGAGATTTAGTTATTTTTTGACCTAAAGTTTGAATGAAGTCCAATAGGATTTTAACTAGGATTAAATTAAGATTGAATTGAGATGTATTTGAGATATATTTGTGATCATTCTAATATTTTTTAAAGATTTCTTATTATTTATTTGTAATTCTTTTGACGTTTCTTTGAATTTGATTAAAGCTTGGTTAGCATTATTAGTGTTCTATTAGAATTAAGATTTTGTTGTTGTAATTTCTATTCTACCTTCCTTAGCTAGGGGCCCGGAGGATTTTCAAGTAAGACTTCATATATTATGACAATGTGGTTTTACTTGTAGCTTGTGGAATAAGCTAACTATGTGGTGTACACACAGATATCTTGTCTTACAAGTTAAAACATGTGGCTAACAAAGCCAACACATGTTGGAAGTCCAATAGAATATTGCCACTTAGCTCTTAGTTAAAAAGTATATATAGAGGCAAGAGTGAAGCCTTCTTCACTCTTGTCAACGCCTTTCTAGTCTTTAGTCTTATTTCAAGACTTTTTAGTCTTTTTATTTTTAGTAATAGCCATTCCAGTTGAATATTATATCATCTTTGACTGACTTTCTAATTCCTTTCAGTGATACAAGAGTATTTTGAGGATCTTCTTTCTTCAAGATTCATGTCCTTTACATATTGCTTTGACTTTACATATGTTTGTAATTGATTGATAGGTTAAAAACTTGGTCAATAAGTTAACCACGTGTTGGTAGCTTGTGGAATAAGCTAATTATGTGATGTATGTATAAAAAACTTCCCTTACAAATTAAGATGTGTGTCTTACAAAGTCGACACATTTTGGAGGTCCTATAGGACATTGCCATGTAGTTCCTAGTTAAGAGTATATATGGAGGCAAGAATAAAGCCTTCTTCACTCTTATGAATACCTTTTTAGTCCTTAGTCTTATTTTAAGATTTTTTAGTCTTCTTATTTTTGGCAATAGCTATTCTAGTTGGATATTATATCATCTATGAGTGACTTTCTAATTCTTTTCATTGACACAAGAGTATATATTGAAGATTTTTTTTCTTTGAGATTTATGTCTTTAATAATAAGTTCAAAAAACCTCATTCATTCATTCACAAACACCTTCAAATATAAGATGAAATGACATCCCAATGCATCTAAAAATAAAATGCACTAATATAATTCTTAAGTAACAAATAGTCATTCTAATTGTAATATTATACTATCTTTGAATGATTATTTACTCTTTTTTAGTGATACAAGAGTGTATTAATTCTTTGCTTCTTTGTGATTCATGCCTTTGACATAAAGTGGTGCAAATTTTAATATTGAAACTTCTTAAAGTTAGTTTATTTTTATTTTTAAACCACGAATTCTTATAATCAAAGTGAGAATGTAATTTTTACAACAATTCAAGTAAAAAATAGTCTACTACCTTAGTAGTTTAATTTATCCAACTTTAAAGGAATAATACTCAATCCTCATATAGAGAATTGTTGTAAATTATTAGTCATTTTAGAATTATGTAATTTAAATTTAAAAAAACCAAAAAACATCACATTTAAAGCAGCTAGGAGATGAGAGATTTTTTTTTTTTTTGAATTTTATCAAAAGATAACATTTTTATTTAAATCATATTTGTTTAAATATTGTTACAACAATTATTGAAATTATGGTTTAAAAAAATATGTGGTGGGGTTGGAAAATCAGATGACATGTCAAATTGCAAGTGTGAGTGCCAGAGATGTAGATGCGCTGTGTCTGTATTCAGGCACAACAATGGGAATAAACGATACATCAATCAATCAAGAAGGAAGGCAGGAAGAGGAGTGAGGAAGGAAGCAAAAGGGGGGGGATGCCATTGGTTCCATGGTGACAGGCTTAGGCACGGGGATGGGGCACCTCCACCCCCACCGTGGCCTCCGTTTCAGCTGGAGGTGTCGGGTGTCGGGTCCGGTCCGCAGGGTTCGGCTGGGATCGGGGAGAGTGAGGGAGAGCAATGGAAAGGAGGGAGGGAGCGAGAGGGTGTGCGCGTGGGTGCAAGAGTGCGGGCAGGGAGTGGGGAGGGAGGTGGGGAGTTGGGGGGCCACAGTGGGCGGGTGCTCCACCACCAGCAGTGCCATTGCTGGATCGCCGCTCCGGAGGTGGGGCCATGCTGATGTCACCACTTCGCTGCTCCTCCACCCCCGTATCTTCTCGCAGAGTGCCCCCATTCACTTTTCAAAAATGGCATTTCCAGGGAGTATTGTGCAATGGCGCCCGTCGTGGGCTTGGAGTGGGTTAGGATGCATGCAGTTGCTCCTGCATTCTGGGCTTGCAATGCTCTGTATGGAGTGGACGTCCTCGGGGCTCCGCTGGACAGATGGATGAATCTCCATCTGCATTCCGCTCTTGGTACTGTAGCTGGCACTCTAATGAGCATTGCCTCTGGAATAAGTGACCCAAGTGCCCGCCTGAGGTAGCTCGACATACACATTCAGAGCGAGAGCTAGAGCAAGGGCCCGTGTGAGAGGAGGGTGTGTGCGTCTCCTGCTCTCGCCCCTTCCCTTCTCTCCGCTAGCGTCACTCGCCGCTTTCTTGCTGAGGTCGTTCTGGTTGGGCTGCTTGTTGTGCCCTCTTTGAAAAGTGGCATCTTCACTCGATTGTCTACCCCCCTCTTCTCCTTCTTGTAGATTGCATTGCATTGCTGTCCATTTCAACTTCCCTACCTTTGCTTCACGCTACGCTTTTCTCCTTCCTCTCAATTGCTTAGATCTCACATGCACTGCCCGCACCATGGGGTTGATATCAAGAAGGGTTCTACCCATTTGCGGCAGCATGTGTGTGTGCTGCCCCGCTCTTCGCGCTCGCTCTCGTCAACCTGTAAAGCGCTACAACATGCTCCTCGCCGACATCTATCCTAAGTCTCAAGTAAGAACTATTTCTGGATCTTGGCATACCCCCGTTCCTCCTCCATTATCAATACGTTTTTGATCTGATCCTACTCTTGAATTGTAGGATGAAGCCCCTAACGACCGCAAGATCGGCAAGTTGGTGGAGTATGCGGCCAAAAATCCGTTGCGGATTCCAAAGGTCAGTCGCAAACACTGCAGAGTAGTTCCTGCCGGTCGATCGTGTCGCTTTTTATGCCTACGTAACTGCAGAACCAATTGTTTACCTATAAAAGTTGTGGCTTACGTTTTGATGTGGTCTTCCCTCTCATGTTATCTCATCTATGATCTGTAAATATGAACTTTGGAGATTTCAACTACATTGCAGATTGCAGGTGCCCTTGAGCAGAAAGGCTACAAAGAGCTGAAAGCCGATCACTTCGGGACCGTGACCACTGTGATGCGTGCCTTCTCAAAACTATTTATCGACTGCAGGGATGAAATGTGAGTTGCAGCTCATAGACAATTTCCCGAGATTTGAATTATAGACTTGTTTACATTATGAAACGATTAATCTTCATGTTGAGATCTAATAGTGCTATGTATTACCTACTATTTTATTGATGTGGTGTAGACCTGTTTGGATCACTATTTGAAGATAAGGGTTGTACAACGATCTATTTTCTATCGCTGCTTTTGGCAACTTGTCCAGGTGTAATCCAATGCCCTGCTCGTGGCCGAATTTCTGATCGAGCGGGCTATTGACGAATCGTTTTGTTCTTTGAATTGTGTTATTGACGTTTACAGGTCGCTATTTGCGAATAATGCCTTAAACCTGATCAAGGTGTTGCTTGACCAAGTGGCACATGGTAACATGCGCATTGTAGGATGTCTAACCCTGGTGGACTTCATTCGAGTACAGGTATGATGGGCTTCCCTCATTATAATCTATTGTACTTCAACGATATAAGATTTTGGAAATTATGTATAGAATTACCGAGGCTGGATATTACTTCTTTGGAAGTTCACAGCCCGGTAAATCTTCAATGATAGCGATTTATTACATTTGAACCTAAGTCCTCCAATGATGTTGCTGAATTGTCTCTGAATTTCTTACCCTGATCATTATTTCGGCTTGTACAGACGGATGCAACATATATGCGTAATCTAGACGGACTTACATTGCCACTTTGCGCATTAGCGCGTGAGCAGGGAGACGACAAGAAACAGCTGGCAATCAGGGCAGCTGCTCTGCAAGCGCTGGCGGCTTTGGTATACTGCTTATGAGTTGTGACTCGCCAGGATGAGATGGATTCTGAAAATCATTTTCCGGCTCTGAATTATTATTGGGTTTGTGTGAGGGTTTTAATGAAAGGCGAATGATTTAACATATCTGTCATGTCGAATTGACTGCTCGAAACCTGGTTCATCTGAAATCTTCTCGGTGTGGCTTGACTCTATTGAATTCTACTTTTCACCAGGTGGGATTCACGGCCCAACATTCACAAATCTCTACAGAGTTTGATAAGGTGATTCTCTCATCTTAAATTGAACCAATGTTCTGTTTCTTAAATTTTTACTAAAAAAATGGTTTTAGAATTTGCGAGTCCTTGTCTTCTGCAATTGTGTACTTGAGGGAAGCGTAGATCTGAACATGTTGTTTTATTGCTTAATATTGACTCGTCTGCATCCTTTTGATTGGTAGCCTTCGATCTCCCGCTTTAAATTTTCTTGTGTATATTCATTTAGTACTTTGTGTAGGTTGTCGCAGCTACTCTTGAGAACTATGAGCTCCCATCTGTGGAAATCGAAGCGCTAGAGATTGAGAGAGGAGAACCAAAGCAACAGTGGATGAGGGAGGTGATGAGATCGGAGGGTCATTCCCACGCACTTCAAGTCATGAGAGAGGCTTTGAACAAAATGCACCGCCACAAGGCACATACTGTCGTCAAGGATCAACTTAATCTGACTAGGTATTTTTAGTAATTACTTCCGTACTGGGTTGGTGCAGTTTTGCCTTGCATATTCTATAAACGAGCTGGAGATGTCAAATCTAATTAATTTGATAGGTTGTGAGTAGTAATTATGTGGAAGCCGGAGGCGGTTACAATTCCTAGATGCTTATTCGTTGAGTAAATATGGTAAAATAAGCTTTTAGTTTATCCGACTTAAAGCAAACGTGGTCACTATTTTCTTTAGTGTTTTGGTCACTAACTTCATTTTATTTCTGATTTTCAGCGAAGAAACAGAAGCTCCTTCAGTTTGGTCTCAAATATGTATTCAAAATATGGCTGCACTCGCCAAAGAAGCAACTACCGTGAGAAGAGTTTTGGATCCTATGTTTCGCTACTTAGACGCTGGAAAGCACTGGTCCATGGAAACAGGGCTGGCTCTAATAGTTTTGCAGAATATGCAGTTTTTAATGGAACAGACAGGTCTATACTGGCCTTGATTCATTCATTAGTGCTCTGTATTATTTTGGTTGGTTTTGCTTTTTCATACACTAGATCTTAAGCACTCTATCGTTATTAGTAATTCTAGTGTTTCCTGCTGTGCTTCTTCAAATCTCTGGAAGTAGTAATTGTAGATGGCGTGCAGTTTGTATCTTGCTGTAAGACCACTTCGTAGTAATATTTCATTAGCTCCCATTCCAAGTTTTAAAACAGTTAAAAGCGTTAAAACAACGGATACTGGTGTTTGTACTATGCACAGGGAATGGCCAATTACTGCTAGCGGCACTAGTCAGACATCTGGATCAAAAAAATGTGGAAAGTGATTTGATTATGAAGAGAAACATCTTGGCAGTTACTGCTGTTTTAGCCCGTCAGTCAAAGTCAAAGGCCACAGTTGCTGAAATAGGTGCGATGAGCGATCTATCTAAACATTTAAGAAGAAGCCTGCAGGCATCCATGGAAACCTCGATGGCTGGAAGTGTTCAAATGTGCGACGATAACATTTTACTACAGGCAGCCGTTGAAGAATGTCTCATGGAATTCGGAAGTAGGGTAAATATCCAACAACCTTGTAGCATTTCTCAGTGTTTCATTGACTTAACGTTTTGCGTCATAAATGAAATTGCCGTTCACTGCTAGTTTTGTTTTTCATCGTAATGTGCAGCACTGATCCCTGCAGTGTAATAATATGAAGGTGGGAGATGCTGGGCCTCTTCTGGACATGATGGCTGCGACGTTAGAAAAACTGTCCGTTAAGACTGTCGTTGCGAGGAGTACCTTACAGGCTGTCTCCGTGTTAGCTCTTGTTGTGGCGTACCTCCCTGACCATCTATATGTACATCAGGTGAGTTTTAGCACCTCACTTAATTTTAGTAGTCGCTTCAGGCAGGCATATTCTTCTCCATAGTGTCCATTATTGAAATCTTGAATAAGAAGGTCACGTGCATGCTTTTGCTGAACCGTGTGAAGGAAACGTTCTTGGACTTTTATAAATGCCTCAATTCAGTGGAAGTACAAATGACTCTGGAATAATGCTTGTTTATTGAGCAGGAATTTCCCGAGTCATTATTCAAAGAGCTACTGCAGGCAATGTTGCATCCTGACCTGGAAACTCGAATTGGAGCTCATAGGGTATTTATATTGCTCCTGGTTCCATCTTCGGTATCCCAGTCCTCTCGCTATGAACACCAATTCCTTCCACATTCTGATGGACTATCACCCAGCCGTGGTAAGAGGAGAGTTTCTGCTTTCTCCTCAGCTGCGGCGTTATTCGAAAGGTTGAGAAGAGAAAGAAGCCTCGGTGGCAGTTTCCTTGATAATGGCGATGAGAATGGAAAATTGAAGGGCAGAACCAACAGTATTGACCAGATGGCAGGTAAAGCTGACAGTGCGGCTAAAGGTGATTGGGAACTTGAAGGGCGCTCTGATAGCTTTGATCGTGATGACGTTCATCCTGGAAGGGGCGACAATTCAAATGGAGCTGCAAGTCCAAGCCGACTCCAAGCTTTCAGACTCAGCTTGGGGCGCTCCATGGCACATTTGCGAAGACCTTCCACAGGCGCCACCAAAGAGACTGTAAGCACTCCCCTTGAATTCTGTGTTCTTTCATCCATCACCACAGTCACAACGCTGTAGCGCAGCATCTTTATTTTAAGCATCGCATAATTCAGATGGGATGGAAGGTTAAATCCTTGTGATCATGGCTTGTGCCAACATCGTAACTCCGGCAAAGCTTGTGGTGATTGCTCATTTGAAGTTTTCCTTTTGATCTCTTAGGAAACGAACACTGCAAGGCTAAGTGTAAAGCAGACAGAGCTGCTATTCTCGACTCTTTGGTTGCAATCTAAAATGGCAGACAATTGGCCCTCCAGCTACGAGGCGATGGCTCACACTTACAGTCTCACTCTTCTTTTTGGGGGACTGAGGGTAAAACATTTGCCTGCTCAAGTTTGTATTTGCAACTTTAATTAGTCAATCCTGCCATATTTTCAGATCGTCAATATTTTAGTGTCTAACATAACTGTCTTTCCTTCTTAACAGAGTGCTAATCATAATACCCATTTGCGAGCACTGCAGTTGGCTCTCTCGATCAGGATCCTTGCACTTGATTCATCCGGTAAGCTATGAAAAAGTAACAAATCAGTTTGCGATCGGTGAGCGTGACTTGTATGATCACAACTATTCCCGAATTGACCGGGTTTTTCATCCGTTTTTGGAGTCGGGTACATGAGATTTTGCTAACTCTGACTTGTCGGGTTCTTGCAGCAGTTCACCTTTCTCCGGCGAGACGAAGGTCTCTGTTCACACTAGCTACTGGCATGCTTGTATTTGCCGCAAAGGTCTGCAATATTCCTCAAATTGTCGCTCCTGCCAAAGTGCCTCTTACTTCACTGGTGGTGAGTCTTCTTTGTCATTTGCATGATCGTGTCGTTCCACACCACATATTCTGACCCATTTTAACCTGTGTAGGCTGCTTGTGTCGGGTTTGTTGGCTTAAGTAGAAATTGTTGACCTGGATCGAGCAGATTGTGCTACAATTTGTAGTGCTGAATATCTTCGAAATCTACCTTTGGCTTTTCTGTCCGTGCTTTGAAGTATGTACACGATGGCTAGATGTTGACACATTCTGATAAATGACTGTAACAGAAGGACCCATTTCTGGAGCTGAGTGAGGACAATACACTTACCGCATTGAACTCAGCTGTATATGCTCACGAATATACCACAGAATCAGATGATAATGCTGCGTTGAGTTCATTATCTCGTATCTCTCTTGTTGGAGATTTATCGAATGACGCAATTGCAGGACGCATCATTGAAGCCATTTCATCCTATGTCAAGGTGTCCTTCAAACTTGCAACTGTTGAATGTCTAATTTATTAAGAATTTGTGGAAAACGATGTTCCTATCAATCTCAAGATCGATATTTCAATACCTATCCTAAAACTTCATTTCAATCTAAGATTGAGTCTAGAAGTCTGGTATCTTACCTCACCTAAGCATTCTATTCATCATTACTCCTGTTATGTGCATGCGACTCCTGGATGTGTTGATAGATCATCAGTTTTGACCCGTACCATCGCAGGTTGAGGGTGTGGGTATTAAGGAAAGGTTGACACAACAATTTACACCAGAGGCTAGTGAGCTCCTTAAGCCCCAGTTGTACTCGGAATCCTTGAATGCTAGATCTCCTCATGCCTCTCAAGATTCCGTGTCGTTCGATGAGGTATGGCGACTTTGCCCTAAACCGTGCCAAGTGGCACACCTCAACACGGCTGTGTTTCTTTTCATTAGATCCAGATGGTTGGGATTAGAATATTATGACATCCTTCTTGACTAATCCTTTCAATATTGCTTAGGTCTTGCAATCACAGTTGACATCTTCAGTTTTAGAGGATGGGAATACCAATGGTTCAAATTCGGAGCTGCCGCCTATGTTGAGGGACACCGCAGGTAGCACGCCTATCCAAGCACCTGGCGTTTCGCAGCTTCTAGACCAGGTAAACCTCAAAAATGCATTCTCCTCTGCGATTGCTCAAGATACCGAATGATCCCGTGCCTCTCGGTGTATTTTGATGTTTTATTACTCTACATATTTTATACTGAATTATTGTGAACTGAGCTAATGCAGGCTAAAGAAACAGCTGAACAAGTTGGACTTACTCATGCTCCTAGCGGCCCTCTCTCGTATAGCGCAACTGCAAGTCGGTGTGAAGCAGCAGGGGCTGGTGCTCACAGAAAGATGTCTGCAGTGCTTAACTTGGACAGCAAGTCTGTTCCTTTCACAGCGTCTCTCCCCCCTGTTAAGGACTCAAACAGAGTGAACGGCCATGAAAGCCCGTCAGCTACGGTAGATCTCTCTCTGGAGTCTTATCTTTAATTACACTACATGCATGCATGAAGATTCCTATCCATGCTATCAAACTACTTTTTTTCTGGAATATCCGGGTTTCGAGTTTTGATTTTAATTTTAGTTGTAATTAGATTCCTATCGTCCATGTGTGTCTGTTATACTTGAACTACATGACTCCTTGAAGCTAATAATTTGTATTAACTCCGCTCCTAAGTGCTGACTTCAATATTGCTTGGTCTTAGACGATTCGGTTCACGTTTGAGTGATGCTGCGTGCCTTGAATTAAATGTATCACAATACAGGACTTTTTTTAATGAAAAGCGCTGACTTCCTTTTTTTCCACATTGACAGTCGGACACAAGCGGTGACCTCGATGAACGAACTGCAGGTTTTTCTGGAAGCAGAAGCCAGAGTCCGAAATCGAAGCCCACATGGTTAGCGTCCCCAACCGTCAGAGACCTGAAATTACCTCCTTCAAGTCCGTATGACAACTTTCTGAAAGCAGCTGGATGCTAAAAACAATCTTTGAAGCATGTATGTCTCAAAGATAGACTTGGGGCCTTGTAAACCGTTCATGCGGTGTATGGTTAAAGGTGGATCCAGCTTTTGTGATATGTACTGACTACTTAACTACAAATCGGTGTTTAGATTACGGTAATTAAATCACAGAGGTTTTGCTAACCGCTGGTGTATCACAATACAGGTATAGAAGTAGCTTTTCAGCTACTATAGCAGCAGTCTCCGAGGGTGTGTAGGTTTTGGAGTCGAAAACCGGCTATGACATAATCCTATATCGGTGGTTGTGCTGAGGACATTCCTACGTCTGTTTCCTTCCAATATACTGAGTTGGTGAATAGTGCCAACTGTGGACATTATGGTCCATTTAAGTTATAATTCTTGGTACATGCTACTTACACTTTTAATTGATTTTTACGCATGCAAATAACATCCTTGTTGATGTCTGATCTGTCGCTTCCACTTCAAATTGAGCTTTGTTGCAGCATTCAAAATTTATATGTGTAAAATCTTGTCGAAACTCGCTATAATTTCTACCTGGTACTGTTGTTAATTGACTTGTCACACTCAAAACAGGGGATGCATTCCTCGTATCACTCGACAAGCTGGTGTACGAGATGGTGATTCGAAGTCTCTGATCAAACCATAGGAACTGCTTTAACTTTCCGACTAAATAGTTGGAGTCATGCCACCTAATGGAAGGAGAATGTTGTTAAACTGCAGACACCTTTGAATTTGTTGGAATGCAATTTTTTGTTAAAACGCAGCCCAGCAGAGCCACCTGCAGCCAGAAACTTCAAGAAAAATGGTCGAATCAAATTTAACTCTAAATGCATTCACAACCATTCTTCGAATATCTTCAAACACTGCTGTTGCACAGAAACTAGTTAATTAGTCAAACCGGAACAAAAGAAGTATATACAACACCGATAAACGTGCACTACGAGATTTCTTTACTCGACATCCAGTTTCGCTTCTATATCTCATTCAGTTAATTGCTAGTTCGAAACAAAATGTCATTTTCAAGCAAATCACTCACCGTAGAACGTCCATAACTTCTGAAATAACAATGCTACATGTGAAACTTATCGAATCATCAATGAGCCAAATGGGAAACTGCCTGCGTACGATCTTAAAGCAAGCGACCAGTAGATGCATGGATCGTTGTAAATCCTGGAAAAACTATGCTTGGTAATTAGTACCATGATTATGATGTGAAGGGTGTGCTAATAGAAACGAGAAAGTCACGAGAGCTTATAATATTTGCATACAATCACATTGGCTTGATTACAGAGCGGATTTTGGCATGTCACTGTTTGTACCGCTTTCTGCATTAGCTTTGCGAGGTCTTCCACGACCTCGCCCTTCTTCAGACTTTTTGGGTGGAGGAGGTGGCTTCGGCTGGCCATCCTCATCATTATCATCATCACTGCTTCTGTTGTCAACTTAGAGTTCCTCAAACTCTCGCTCTGACAATTGTTTTCCGTAGGATCTTATTTGCACCAGAGTTGCCAATAGGGAACCACATCAACACAGCCAGAAGCTTAGACCTGCAACAAAATTAACACTGACACATAATATGCACATCTCCGCCGTGCAGTCTAAAGGAAGTCGTATTCAATATTTGTTCAAACAGGTAATCGAACTCAGACTCGGCATATGCCTTCGTAAGGAAGAGTAAATATAGCTACTTCATAAACAGATGGTGGATTCGCTTTGCGTTCTAGATCTAACAAATGCTACAAAATGCGTTCTGTTTCAGATATCAAGTGAATTAAACGATGGTTACAAACATGTGACGACATTAGAGGAACATAAGTGACATTCTATACCTCTCGTGCACGTTCTCCTTGCCACAATCTTGAATTCCAGCAACTCCACCTTCAGAGCTTCCACCAACAGAGCTACCGGCCTTTTTGGTCGATTTGTTGGTCAAATCTCCGCCTCACTCCCAATATACATGTTGGAGACCGGACATCGCTCATAATCAGGTACCAGCTAGACAAAATCAAGCTTTACCAGGGTGTGGCTGCATCTTAGATCATACCAGAATCGGTAACGGAACTGAAATGCTATGTAGCTTAGTGTTCGTGTCTTCAGATAGACCATACACACATACAAAGTGGTAAAGCTTATTAGACAAGTGGATCAAAAGTCGAAAAGATATCACAAATGTCACATAGAAATCCGAAGTCAGACACCATCATGAAGATTTTGTAGCATCCACTGATGAACACCTAATAAGCTAAGGGTGTTCTGAGACCAAGAAACATCTCTAATTCGATTTAGTTCAAGCATTAGTCACAACCTGGGCAAGGCCTACACCAAGTTAACAGATGTCAAAAACAGACTGAAATAGTTATCAGATGTCAAAAACAGACAGCTAATGCGGCACGAATAATAAAATAATAATTTAATTCCCCTAGTTAAAACTCCACTATTATCACACAGAAAATTCCACTAAGCATGCTTATACAAACATAAGATTTTGCTCTGTAAATAACATCAGGCCAAACCCACAATAAAACTGAACATGCAGACCAGGTAGACAGGAGCTATTCCTGAAGATCCTTGTCCGTAACAATTAGGACAATTTGGACAATATGATATCACTCTTTAGACCAATTTGTTCATTTATTTATTTATTTATTTATTTTTTCACTTACTCTTTTAATTTGCCTAAGTAATAAGAAGTCTTTTAATATTTCACAAATTTCATTTTTCATTTTTTTCTGTTTTATTTAATATTCCTCACAACTATGCATAGTCACATGTTTTAGTTTAAAGAAACCGGCAGTGATATAAGTCTTATAAATTGGTAGATATAAATTAGTAGTCAGATTGTTTACTTATGTAGGTTTTGTAAGATTTATATTTATATTTAGATATTAAAGTTTTATCCATAAAAAAATGATTTTGAGAACGTTTTAATATCTTTGAATTATTTTTATTACATCTTTATAAGATTATTATAATCTTTTGAAGCTCTTAGAACCTTCTAAAATATATTATAGGACTTAAAGCATGATTGTGGTAGATTTTAGCAATTATGAAATATTAAATAATAAAAAAAACTTATTTTCTGATGTTTTTAAAAATACATATAAAAATAAACTAAATTACACTATTTTAAATATTTTAAAATTCTTTATCAAGAGTGGTATTGTAGATCTAAAAAATAAACTACAACTTCAAGGAGATTTATTGATCTTTTGTAAAATTTTAAATACTTTCAGAAATAATATTATATCTTTTTGTGAAATCTTCAGATTAATTTATTTATTTAAAAAAAAATTACCTTTTTCAAAAAAAGAATATCAAACACATAAATTTAATTTATATCTTATTATAAAAATAGAAGAATTCTGAACATTAGATGGAATAGAATAGAGAATTACAAAGACATAACTCATAAGTTTCTGAAATAGAGACAAGATGGTGACCTTGGATGATTCACATGTAAAACTTAGTAAGTTTTCAAAGTCATTGATAAACAGCTTTCTAACAAGAGTGCTATTGGATCCAAGGAAATAATTTTCAAATTCAACACACTAATTAATCTTGTTGAATAATGTATTATCCATAGGGGTTGGATTTTCCTCTCATCCATTACCCACTCATTATCCTAAAGTTTTGAGGCAAGAAATAGGCCGTAGGCAAAGAAAAATATTCTTGTATAGATGAAGATTATTATATAATAGACATAGGAAATGTGTTACACAGGCTATTTAACATATGAACGAGAATAGTAAAGTCTTCTTATGGGTTTGATAGTGTGTCTTGGGGCATTGCCAAATGTAATCCTACTTCATGCATTGATTGATTTGTCAAACCTTGTCATAACCGTGTTTTAAAGCTTACCGTCTTTTATTCTGGGCTACCTTCTCTTAATCAACCCTCCTCCTCCTCCTCCTCCTCCTCCTCAGTCATGAATGGATGGATGGATAGATGGATGTATGGATGGATAGATAGATGGATGGATAGATGGATGGATGGATGGATGGATGGATAAATGGATGGATGGATGGATAAATGGATGGATAAATGGATAAATGGATGGATGGATGGATGGATGGATAAATGGATGGATGGATGGATGGATGCATGCATGCATGCATGCCTCCTCTCCCACTCACTCCCATTGCAACCGTGCCATGCTCAGTTAGTGAGTCTGTGGTGCTGGATATCAAGGATCGTAGGGTAAAACTTCAGCAATGGTTTGGAATTAATGTTTTATGTTTATGCACTTCTTCCTTTTTTTATTATTTGTTTAGAAGTCTTGGTAAGAGAGATCTGATCCCCTTCAAGTTGCAATGCAACACTGGCTCAAAACTCTATCTTTGGGCTACAAAACAAAAGTATTGTTGTTTGAATAAATTTATTAGTTATGTTTAATAAGTTTATCATTTACTTGTAGTACACTATTGAAAGCTGAACCTTCAATCTGTATTGTAATTTCCTATAATGTTAACTCAAGATATGAAAGTCAAATTATATTTTTTGAATGTATTTCATATTATTTTTCAATAATTTGAATTTTATCTATTTTTTTTAGAAATGCATATGTGATTAGTTCTAGATGCTGTGACTTGTGTTAGTATTCTGGAACACTCATAATAATATGTTTGATGTATTTTAATTTATAATTTTACAGTGTGTTTGAACTCTGGGTCTTTACCTTCATATCAAAGCACATTTTAATATATTCTGGTTGTCATTTAATATATTAAAGCACATACATACAAACATGTCAATAAAACTAAAATTGTAACAACCAAAATTAATTCTATAATACATATGTGTGTGTATGTCAACATAGACACATATATTTAGCAGATTCAATCATGAATATTGATTTTATGTTAATATGTATATATATATATATATATATATATATATGAGTTTAAAATTAGTTAATTGTTTAACTCATCACAAAATACAAAATTATCATAGATTTTTTATTACGTGTTTGCACATTAGGTTTACGATATAAAGAATTTTTTATTTTTAATGATTACTGCACCTCTTCCGCTGAGAAACACACATGTACTGATTTACTTTATAAACTCCAGTCATGTTTCGTAATGTGGCAGTGACGAATTTATATTGAAAAATACATTGCATTATATTTTCATGTACAGATATATAATACTCTACCCAACATGCAACTAACAGAATTATTTTAGTAAATATTTTATTGAATGTTTGGAAGATGCCAAACAAAAGTCTACAAGGTGCTGTGAGTTTCAGGCATAACAATCAAAGATCATTCTACCCCTATGCCATTGTTTATCATGCATACTCCACTTGCAATGAGTATTTGGATAAAATCGCACCGAGATATTATCAAAGTCTGCAGATTAACACTACCTCAGGTCCAGACACATTAGCTGTGCGGGATGAGCAGCACTGAGCAGCGCTGTTGCTCCTTTGAGTGCTCAGGGAGAATGCATTTATAAGTATCTACTCGGTGGCCCCCGAGGATGCTTCAAATGTCCATCGTAGTTGCCTTCCAACTATTTAGCAAAAGTAGACTATGGTTTGCGATGAGATTGAAGCCTCTATTAAGGACTTCGCCTAGAAATGAAACAAGTCTGCTCTAATTATCATGTGCGATTTTCGACGGGGCATGGCTCCTCTGAACACTTAGATCTTGAGATTACTCGAGCAGACGCTACATTCGTACCTATCAACTTTCATTACTTAAGAGCAGAGGTGCACAAGTCTAAAAGATCCAGTTTCGTATTGGTTGAAAAAACCATCCAAGTGCTAAAGAAAAATCTGTCTTCCAACAGTAACCCATTTCGAAGGTTTTACTTACAATCACAGGAGGTTACAGTTACATAAATCAGTCTTAAAGACATTGTAAGTCACTGTTTAACCTCACACCTCATTTATGCACTGGTTTAACATTCGAGAGCAAATCTATTGTCATAGCATTGATACTAATAACCAATCATATTCACAATCGGAATTCCTCAATGAGTGCATTCAATCAGCAATTGACTGAAACAGCAGGCCAATCTCCTAGAATAGACACAAACCACTGCATTCATTGTAAATATTTTTGAAGATTGGACAGAGTAACGGCACCAAATCCAAATCCCTCGAGTGCTGCTTTAGCCATTGGAAACTCAGCCCGAGCTGTTGTGCTGTACAAACAAAAACACATATCAAAATTTTGAACTGATCCTACCTGTTTGCCTGTGTCCTCAACCAGGTACGCAGAACGCTATATAAACCTACATGCTTCCCCGTCTAAGTATGATTGAACATGACAGTCAGACATTTTAGAAGGCTCACCATCAAAGCCAAATTCGAATTAGATGTAATAACGTATTTGATGCTGTAGTATATACAAAGGAAAGACTAACGAACCTGCTGCGGACTACTACACAGGGCATGCCTATCCGAGAAGCAGAGAGAGGTCCTGTTTGTGAACCCGCCAGCAGTATACACCGATCCATATCGACTGCAGCTATTTCCGATGCTGCTCGTAAAGATGCAATGGTATTTTTGGATCTGACACCCATAATTCAGTGTACGCCATTGTCATCAATGAGTCAGTGAGCTTCACCGGGAGAAAGCAGGCGATCCAAATAATTCAGTTCCTGAATTAGGTGGCTTATACTTCGAAGTTCGTTAGAAGTCAAAAAAATCAGAAATCATGTGACTATATCCAAAGCATGTTTGTGCACGACTTATCAGTGATAGAGAGAGTTTCGGAATACGACTCTGTGATACTGGTGTCGATATTAACGCTGACTGCAAGCATATTTGCAACTTCTTCTGCCACCTGCTGCTTCTCAGCTGCAACTGTTGTCAAGAAAACTTAATCATGTCATTTCGCGAGGCTTCATGACTAGATAGCACAAGCAGCTTCAAACATTGAAGATAGTAGCGCGACAAGAAATTAGTACCAACAGCTTAAAGGTTAGCTAGAAGGTTCTCACCAGATGCTACAAAGCGAAGTCATATAATGAGCAGACCAACTAGTTATCATGCTCTACCATTGAAGTACTCAATTTCATTGCACTTGGAATTAATTGGCTTAAGAAATTTTCTCTATACACCGAAGAGAATGAAACCATTGTATTCATTAGCATATACGGAATTGAAAAAGCTTTCATGAACATACAACCGACCTGCTTTAGAAACTTCTATAGATAGCTGCTCATCAATGCCACCTGAAACTCCAGCTCCTAGTACAAATTGTCCGTAGGCACTGTTCCCCACTTCAGCCTCTCCCACAACGGTGATATTGTTGGTACGCTCTGGTCCCAATTGGGCAATCAACGACCTGACCTAAATAACAACTTCTCAGTGACGGATTCATAAGTACCATGTGTTTATCTCTACTTTGTAAGACTAGATGGTTGACAAGGCAATTATCACAATTATTCTATGATTCTAACCTTTGATATGGTTTTAATGGTGAAATATCTGAGAAATAGAAGCAAGAGATTACTAATTAATGAGCAAGCTATCATTCCATTATCAACCTGTGATCTACCTGGCAACGTGCTCCCCGCTCTTGCTATAAGCGGCCACCACAACAACCGGCACTTTCGCTTCCAATACCTCGTCTACAAAACTGCAACACAGCATATCGATGAAAAAAACAGCTCGTGCTGTAATGTCACCGATATTCTAAAATAGTTCAAACTATGGAAAAACAATAACCATAAGCTTAGGGCCTACCACAGTTGGCGAATCCAGGTAAAGTTTTCTTGTTTTCCGCATTTGACCATAATAAATAAATGATCTTACCTTCAGCCAACATGTGCAAACAAAATATTCTATATTGTATGTGTGGCATCAACCCCTAACAATCTACATAGTATTTGGTATTTATGACAAGATTGACGTTACATGTCACACAGAATGAGCACTTACTCTATGAGGCCAGGACGCAGAGGAAGGTCTCCTGAAGCTGCCAGCTTTTCCAATGCTCTTTGCTGTGTGCATTACCATGACAAACTTAATTGTGTTACTGCATATATCCTTTCTCAAGCGTCTCTTGACCAAGGATGAACTATTCTTTGAACAGCAATGAAAGGTTCATTGCTATTCATGGTCCTAGCATAGGTTGGTCGAACCTATCAAAATTACGGCAGAAATGTTGTCATGTGTACGAAGGCGTTGCTTGAATTATGTGGTACTCAAAAGCGTTAATTGTCCGGAAAAGCACCATACCTTGGCTTTTATAATGTTATGAATAAATGAACCCTTCTCGTTGCTGGGTAGAGATGATGGCCACCCTATCTGCAACAGAAAGCATTCGTCAAGAACATCACTAGGCACTTCGATGTCAATCTCTAGCAAGTCGATTTTTTAATTTGTTCGAAATAAGAAAGAAACAAAGGTTTACATTTTCTATTGGTTCGAACATGCGTTCGAGTAAAAGTCTACCCAGTCATCAAATACTTAATCCAAAAGAGCAATCTTGTTCACAAGGAAACTACTGCGAACAACGACAGTGGCTGCTTTTCATTAACTTCTACAAGAAAAGCAAAAAACAAATAAAAACATTCAAGTTGCATACCCGGTCAAAAAAAACTCGAAGCATAGTCTCCTCAGCGCCACCTGCATGCCTGCATAACACCACACCAACGACATCATCACTTACTCGCCCATTAACAGAAGATCGTGCGCAGTATACCGCCCGCAGAATTTTTCAGAAAACATCATGTGAGAAGGCGACAGCACCTTAAGAGGTCAGCATAAACTGGCTCGGACCAATTGGCGCATTCGAGATTGAATTCCTGAAAAGCTGCAAAGAAACCGTTCAAATGAACAATACCATGTTTTAAATGTATACTGCACAACCTCAAAAAGTATCCAAATCAGCACTCAAATTTTCAGAATAATCACAACCATTCTTTTACTGATGTTCATGGCTAAAATTGGATTACAGCATTTCTTGATGCTACGATTGGCGTATATTTGAACGTATCCAATCATGATCATTAGATAACCGCCCCACCGCAATAAGAACTGCTTACAAAATCAACACGTGAAGAAAGGCAAACCTTTGAGTCGCTCAATGATCACATATATTGACGTGTTACATAACTAACCTAGATTGAAACCACGTCGATGACCAAATTTGTGCACGTCCGCTAGTACTCTGCAATATGCAAGCCCACGATTGCAATCAACACTTAAGAAAATGCATTCAACTTTATAGCTTGAGCAGTTGAATTATATCTACTGATACAGCACACAACAAGTGAGTGATTTGAAATCTCCTTCTCGTTGTTTACCGAAGCAAATGGCAAAACTTGTACAGCTTTGAAAGGGTATAAAATTTTGAAGAGTGGTAAAGCAATACCCTTCCACTTCCAGTAGAATAGCTAGTTTTGAGGTTTCTTCGGAATTTGAAGATAATGATGATTGCAAAGGCTTCGCTCTCATCAACGTCAGCCTCTTATGAAAATTATGGAACGAGTAGTCAATTGACCGATGCCGAGATCTAAATTTCAGGGAGTGCAACCTAGACCTTGAGAAGTCTCGGACAAGTGACTTGAGCTTGGAATTAAAAACTGGTGAGTGTAGCTGGGCTGCACTGCCTGCAAGTACCAGCTCCATAATTCCTCGAGTTGCTCACGTTAAACAGTGACTGATAGTCAGTTGATGCACAGTCTCTTGAAGGTACAAATGTCGGAGTCACTCTGCAGTAATATCAGAGCAGTTCAGACCTCAGCGAACCAAGTCAACAGTGCTGTGGCCACTCAACTATTTTTCTGTTCTTTAACGCCAATTTTCACCAGTTCGCACAAAGTACAAGCTTGACTAAAGGTGCGCAGCGGATTTCTCAAAGGCCGCACTAACATAAGGAGATTGAATAATACGCTGAATGCTGTGAGAAAATGGCAATCTGAAAAGGAAGTAATTCAAAGATCGAGATTATCCAAATAAGTAAATAAATAAATAAAAATTCTAGTAGATGTAAAGAGAACCTGCGTACATCTAGAAAGGGGTTACTGAAGCTCAATAATTCTTTCGTAACGGAAAATCGCAAAATAATGAACAATGAATTGCAATCTTTCACTATAATCAAATCACAAAGGTAGGATAACGAACGCAGAAGAAGAGGTGTGCAGATTGATGCACAATCAAAGGCGAAGGAGACTAGGACGCAGGGGGAGGCAATACTGATCGATGCACTGCTTGGGGAAAGTCAATGAGGGGAAATGAGGAGAGGACAGGACGCACGAACACCAGAAGGAGGAGAACAAGACAGAAGAAAGATCGGAGATGTGTAGAGTAAGACTACTACTACAACTACTACTGGAGGAGGAGGTGTGAGAGAGAGAGAGAGAGGGAAGGGGGAGCCGAAGAAGAGAGAGAGTGCAGCGAAGTAGGACGCAAGGGGGGAGTTGAAGGAGAGGCTGGGCAAAGGGGGCAAGGGGGGCAAGGGGGGCAAGGGGGACGACGGAGGAAGAGAGACGACGACGACGACGACGACGACGACGCTTCAGCAGGAAGGAAGGAAAGCAAAAGAACACGCTCAAAAAAGGACAAATGGGATGGAACTGCGGAGGATATTACTGTCTCTCTCATCGCTGACTGCCAGTCTCATCCCCCCCCCCCTGCCTGCCACAGAATCTATTATCCAGGCCCTCCTCCTCCTCGCCTACTACGCCATCGTCTACATCCATCATCTCCATCTGCATCATGAATGTGGGCTTGTCTGCGAGGACAGACGGCGAGGTTGACTCATGGTGATCCCCTCCTGCGGGGGGGGGGGGGTGAGAAGAAGAAGAAAGCAAGCAAGCAACGAGAGAGAGCGAGAGAGCGAGAGAGCAATGGCCTCCTCCTGGCACATTGCCATGGTGCTTCTCTCTCTCTCTCTCTCTGGGATGATGACGATGCTGATGGTAAGCCAGACAGGCAGGGCTCCCAACCATGCTTCTTCTTTTGATTGTTGTTGTTGTTGTTCACAGTCCTGGCATCCTCCTCCTCCTCCCCTGCTGCTGCTGCTTCCTGGAGGAGGACCACCACCTCCCCAGCATCATGCAAGTTCTTTTACTACATGCAATGTACTACTACTACTACTACTAATATTACTTGTTATTATTACTCTGTGATTAAGTTTGACACAAAATTACGTACGTCCAATAGTTGTTAAAATTAATTACACATATTCATGCTTCTCTATCTTCAAAATTTCCACTTTGCAACTAATTAACACACAGCCTTATTCTAATTCTGTTGTAAAATTTCAATATTAATCAATTTATCTTGCTTTGAGGGTGTATAAATATGCTTTTATTAGATTATTTATTTCTCTATATGTATTTTCTTGTTTTTGTGTTCTTTTAATGCATTTCAATAAGTTTGGCTCAAATGTAATGCATGAAATTGTTTGTTATAAGAATGTATTTTTTAAAATTATGATATTTGTGAACTTAGATAAGAACTATCTAAGAATCTTGCAAATGCATCAAAGTTTATTATTACTTTTTATCAACAAAATCTATCAAAATCAAAGATCATCTATTAACAATCTAATGGTGTGATAAAAGTAAAACAAGATTAAGAATCAACTTGTAGAATTTCTTTGCAACATGGATTATCAATTACCAAGAAATTCATTTCAAGAATTGTCATCTATAAAATTTCCAAATGAAACACTTAGATTTTGTTACTAATACTATTTGACAAATCTTAGACTTCACTAAGTTATAAAGGAATTTGATAAGTCATTTTGAGGAAATAATTAAAAAATATCAATATTATTTAAATAAATAGGAATAAATAAAAGTGAATAGAAGTAAATAGAAATATATTTAGAAAATAATATTTTCTTTAAGAAACTTAGAAGAAATTTTTTAGATAAAAATTAGGTCTTTAGACAATAAAAAATATGCCACATAGTTATTAAAACTTGTATTACAACTTTTTTACTTTTAGGAAGTTGCACTAGAAGTGTCCAATAATAAAATGCTTGAGCTACAAGTCTTGGAGTTCCGAAGAAGTTTTTACAAGACCTTCTTTTTAGCTAGTATATCTAGACACAAAAATAAAACTATCCTTAGTCTTACAACAAGTAAAATTAAAACTATGACAGCCTCAATAAGCATTAGAAATAAGAATAGAAAAGTAAAATAGATATGAGAAGTTAGATTTATTTTGTCATGTACAAAACCTTGATGGTAGTAAATTCCACTAATAGATTTTAATTAGTAGAATTGTTAAAAATATAATTTTAAACTATTCAGATATAAAAATATTAAAATTAGAGAATTTATTCAAGTATCCAAATATTTATTAGAACTTAACATTATTTATAAGTTACAAGAGTCTAATTAAAATATATATATATTAAAATAGAATCTTTTTAAGTCTTAGAAGTAATTATGTTAATAAATTTAATATTTTTTCTTACTATTGAGTATTAATGTTTAGTCATTGATATCAAAGTCTATATTGGCCCTCTATCTATATACATTACTCATAAAAAACCTATAAATTTTAATTGGTAATCAGAAAAAGCATAAGGAAGACTTCATATCTTTTTGGTTATTTAAATAAAAAATAAGATATTGAATTGATTTAAATTAATTTTATTACTATAAAAAATTATCAAGGTAGAAAAAAGTAGCTTTGATTTTATATTAGCATTAAAAAATATATTATAAAAAAATTACAACTTATTTAAAATTTTTAAAATATTTTAAGAAGTTTTAGAATAATTTTAAAAACTTTAGTAATAATAATTTTTACCACTTTAAGAGGCCATTATGAAGAAATGAAGCAAGATTTGAAGCCTTTGCATGGTTCTTAAAATCATTGGATTTTCTTAATTACATGGTGAAGTAAAAAAATACAAAAATATTGGTTTTACTAGTAAAAAATATGAAGATTAGTAATTAGTATAGTCTTTGTAGAAAGAAAAGTGCACAAATTCTATATGAGTTGAATGACATAGATATACACAAGTACTTTAGTAAATACTTATACGATTTGATAGAAGTAGATAAAAGTAGATAGAAGTGGGTTACTTTCATAATACCTTCTAGAGAAACTTCTTAGAAGCTTCATAGAAGTTGTTTTGACTTTATCTAAGTTTGTAATTGATTGATAGGTTAAAAATTTGATCAACAAGTTAACCACGTATTGATAGCTTGTGGAACAAGCTAATTATGTAGTGCACATATAGAAAACTTGCCTTGCAAGTTAAGATATGTATCTTGCAAAGTCAACACGTTTTGGAGGTTCTATAGGACATCACCACGTAGCTCTTCTTGTTTTCGACAATAGTCATTCTAGTTCAATAATATATCATCTTTGAGTAACTTTTTTATTCTTTTCAATGTAACAAAAATATACTGAGGATTTCTTTCTTCAAGATTCATATCCTTGACAGTTTGACAAGACTGCTAACTTACTATTTCTATCTTGTTTTAGAAGTAAGTAGATTACTTCATTCTATTATTGAATTTTAAAGGTTATAGACTACCTACTTTTAAATAAATTATTTTGTTTTCTAACACTGATTTTTTTCTTAAAGGGAGTGGATTATTCTTCTTTGAAGAAATTTTCATTTAATATTAGAGGTTGTCGATTATCTTCTTTTAATTTAATTTTTTGAATTTGTTTGAATTTTCTATGAAATGAAAGATTATAGATGCTACTCTCAGTAGAAGTCAGAATAGATTTGCTACTATTACAGATTTTCATGAGCTTGTCAACAATTTAAGAATAGAAATTTTATTTATTTTCAAAGTGAATCATAGATGTACTATTCCTACACCTATGGAAAAAATTTGGAGTTTGCAACAAGATGTTGTGCAATTGAAGGAAGCAAGTAGATCGACCTCAAAACCAAATCTTTGGAGTTTGCCTTCTATAAGTATGTCTCAAGGACAAAGACTCGATGAAGGAAAATATACAAAAAAAGGCTATCTCGATATAATAAGTCAAAATATAAACAAGTAGGTATATTAAAAGGAAACTGGAATGGCTAATGCCACAAGACAAGAAACTAAAGACTCTTGAACCTGGACTAGAAGCAAGAAAGGAGTTGACAAGAGTGAAGAAGCCTTCACTCTTGTCTCTATATATACTATCTAACTATGGGCTACGTGGCGACGTTCTATAGGACCTCCAATATGTGTTGACTTTGTAGGACACATGCCTTGACTTACAAGGCAAGTTTTTCTACGTGTGGGCCACATAGTTAGCTTGATCTTCAAGCTAACAACATGTGTGGCACATGGCCAACTTGTTGACCACGTTTCTAATCCAAAAAGTCAATTAAAGACACCTATGAAGTCAAAGCAGCGTCTAGGAAGTTTCTAGGAAGCTTTTATATTAAATATTATAGAATTAACTTACTTTTATCTACTTTTACTTACTTCTACCTATTTCTATATGTAATTATTAGCTTACATGATTATGGCCGTGATATTATCCCCTCTTCTAGAGACGAGTTCCACGAGGAGCGGTCATCATATGTTGAGGAAATCTATAATGCGACGAATTGTATTCGCCACATACTCTGATCTCTGTTCTCTTCGAAGATGATTGATAGGGCCTCTCAACCATCGGTAGTGTCCCATACCACGGCGGAAAGACCACCTAGTTATTTGATCATTGTTGAAGCCTTCGTAACTTCCTTCGAATAGAACATTCGGAACACCATCAGGAGTTGTTCCTACCTCTAGCAAAATCACCAAACATCGGGAGTCCCTTCCCAAATCATGATACCAAACGCGTTGTATCTCACCATCTGTTCGAGGAAGAACATGTCGTTCTTGAAGATCTTCATCTCGATTGCGTCGTCTTGAAGGTTGTGACAATCGTAATGTCTCGTCCAGCAGGTCAGCAAACGAAGGTTCTTGAGTTGAATCCGCTGGTTGTTGGCTCTCCATCTAATTAGCATCACAAATGTAAAGAAGTTACAAACAGGGATAGGAAATTAAATGTTATCTTGCCTCAATCTTGTCTCTTTTATAAGAGAGATTTTCATCTTGGTTTTCATGGATGTCGTTGATGAAAAACTTTGACTTTACCTGATGCATTTACTAGATTCCTGGATGGCTCCCATGTGCGTTCACTAATATCATATCCGCGCCAATGAACAAGATATTCCAGCTTATTTCGGCGCCGCCTTGAGTCTAATATCTCTTCCACCTCAAATTCTTCATTATTATCTACTTCTATAGGAGGCGGTGGCATTTGTCTTCTTCTTTATATATCCACTGTCTTATATGGTTCAAGAAGAGATACGTGGAATACAGGATGGATCTTCATTGACTCCGGTAGATGTAACCGATATGCAACTGGGTTGATCTGTTCAGAAACAGAAAAGGGGCCAAGCCTACGATAGTCCAACTTGTCACAAGGTCGAGTAGTCTTGATATTGCGACAAAGTAGCCATA